ATATCGGTATTTATATTTCTATATCTTGTTTATAAGTAAACACAATTTTGTAACGGTGTGCAATTTGCTATTTATTTATTATAGATATATAATTTTATATATAGATCTATTGAGCAGCAAACAAAATTATGGAGTTGACTAGGTTAATTAGTATTTTGATATTAAATAAATATATATGTATGTATATATATTTGAGCTGGATATATATAAGGAATGTTTGCTAAATTGTAAATTGGTCTAGAATTCAACTAGGCGTTCGTTTACGCGTGCATTAAATAGTTTTTGATTAGCTTTTCGTTTAGTTTGTTTTGTCTTATTAAGTGCTTCAATTGTGATTTTCCCGGGCGGAGGAGGCTTTACGTAGAACCATGGGCGATTTACGTGGCGATTGCATCTGCTGTTGTTGCTGCTGCTGTTGCTGCTGTTGTTGTTGTTGTTGTTGTTGATGATGTTGCAGTGGCTGTTGTTGTTGCACATTCACAAAGCCCGTCTCATTCTCCGGCGAGGGCGAAGAACCAGCGCCTGAATTGCGACGCGACGAAGTCGGGCGCACATTGGTGTCCAAGTGTCGAAAGCTGTGGAAGTATTGAGTACTTGACGAAAAGAAGAGAAGACAGAGGCAATAGAAAGCTCTCCCTACTTACCGCAGTGAGCAATTGTTGCCCTTTTCCTCGTTGTTGCTGTTGAAGAGAAAGGCGAGCGGCCACGAGATCCACGAGTTGTGATCCACCGAGCTCTGAGTGCGTATGATGGGTGCACTGCCGCGACTGATCACCGGCGAGGGCAGCTCCATGGAGAGCTTCGGTGTGCCCGCCTTGTTGATAGCCGGATTATAGATCTTCGGATCACTGACCATGCGCACGAAGAACGAACGCTTCTGGGCGAGCGTATCCTGTTTCTTGCGATTGATGATCTCGGTGATCTCGTCGTGCTGCTCCTTCTCCAGCAGCTCGTTGGCAAAGTCCACGATGGTGTCCCAGGCATAGTCAATGTCCTCGGCGGTGGCATTCTGCGCCACCGCACAGAACCGTATGATATAACGCTCGTTGACGCTGGCCGGAACCATATGCAATTTGCCCGACTCATTGATGGCGCTCAGCAGTTTCTCGTTCAGCTTGTCGGTGCCCTTGAGGCGAAAGCACACTAAGCCCAGCTGCAATTGTACAGTTGAATGGAAACTCGTTTCAATAGATCTAATCGCCATTGTTGTGTGGCAAACAAAAAGAATAAATATCAAACAGATTTTTAGCTTGAAATGACATTGCGTATACGCAATGTGAACGCCTTATTACGTGATGTGACGTGCGGCTGGTCATGAAAAAAAAGGCCAATCGAATTTAGTGGCTAAGAAACTGTAGCACTCAAGCGGCTGTCAATTAGTGCGTCATGGCTCACTGCGAATACCCATTAGTTTTTCTATGAAGGGTTGCTTCAAGTAGTTTAAGTACGGAAAGCTGAATTTTTGGAACAATATTTTTATATTTTTTCTTAAACCTACAACATAACCAGATAAGGAAGATATTTATAATTTTATTTATTTGTATACCTTTTATTTAAAACTTTATGCTAAACCTAGTTTATATTTACTATCGTTTATATTAGACCTAATTTATATTTTTTAACCTTTTAAATTAGACCTATTTTACATATACATATTTTATTTTTTATACCTAATTTATATTTAAATTTTTTATTTTTAGACCTAATCTCTAAAACTTAATTTTAATTGTAATCTCAAAAATTCAAAATTTTCCATATGCAAAACTTTTATTGAATCAAAACCCCAAAAAATTTTCGCACAGGGCATTTGTACGTCCATCCCATTCCACTCTAAACATTCACACTTCTTGTTTTTATTTTTCTTCTTCCTCTTCTCCTTCTGCTGCTGTTTGGGCTGCCTTTAAACACCAAAATTGTTGTATGCCAATTATGCCAAAACACTTCAATTACCCGATTTTCGCAGCAGTTTCGATTGGAATTTTGGCATTTGGCGTGCAATTCCGCACGTTCGTCTCTGCGGCTAGTGTGAATTAGTGAAATTTACAAATAGCTTTACAAGCCCAAAAGACAAATTTCATAATTGAATTTTAGTTAAGTCAAAGTCAATGTTATTTGCGTCAGTCGCTGCCAAAATAGCCAAACAATTTTCTCAGCAACAGCATTAACTTTGATAAATGTTTAACATGCACAACAAAAGCCCGCACGCCCACACATTTCGATTATAAAATTTACCACTGGCCGAAAGAAAAAACATCTATATATATAAATAAATCTAGCTGGGTGTAAACAAAAAGTGCTTTGAACTCGTTACATGATTAATTGCTGAGTTGGGCCAAGTCCATAAAATGAAATGGAAATGGAAATGGACAAAACGTAACTCACCTTGACTTGATTACAGATCTCGAAACGTTTATCTTTGAGCACCAGTTCCTCAAAGCGTTTGGCCAATTTGATATGATGTCGTATATAGTGCTGTAGTCCGGATATGCCATAAGAGCGTAGGACAAACCTGAGATGATAATTGAATAGTAATAGGCGACGTACATAATAGATATAGCTATTTAAAGATATGTGGTATGAGGTATGAGGTATGAGGTATGAGGTATGAGGTATGAAGTATGAGGTATGAGGTATGATGTGAAAAGTAAGAGAATAAGATGAGACATTGATTCTCTTTTGCTTCAGCACATCTAGAGTTCTCTATGATCAGTCATAATTTTTCTAGTGATTTATTTAAGATTACTTAACGTATAAGTCATATTTCCTAGTTATTGTTGGATGAATATATTAAAAATGGAACTCCCAAAAAGCATGGAGCAAGATTTTAACCTCTTTCGAGGCTTTTACAAGCTTCAATACTATATATGCTTCTAAAGAAGCATTTCTATAAATAGATTACGTTTTCATCTCTTCAATATTTATTAGATATGAGATTTCATCCACGTCACCGGCTTGCTCCCTTCAGTGAACACAATAACCCATATACTTCACAAATAATATATTCACAATTAACAAGTCATCTAGAGCTTATCGAAACACTCAAGAATAACTCAAGTGTTTCTTAAGAATTATTCACCGTAGTCATCAAAATAATTGCAGCGAAACTTCGATTCGTAACTCAATCAAATCATAGGGGCGTCTCTATCCCAGCCTCAACTTCTGCTTCTTCTATTGCCGAAATATTTTGTTTTTATAACTAAATCGCAAGCAAATATTAAAGCCACATGCTTGTAGTGAAGTATACTTAAGGCTAAGCAACAAGTTTGGCACTTTACAAACAAAAAAGTGTAGAAAAAAAATACTCAAAACATAAATAAAGAAAATATTTGACAATAGTCAACAAAGTCATTTGCGCCTGGGGTCGGTCTCTTTTTTTCGTTTTTTTTTTTGGTACATACCACAGTTTCAGTGAACGAAAGCGACGGCTGAGTGGAACTCCCCAATGACGATAGTCGATGGCCGCATCCGAGTAGCCGTGCTTGAGATACAGCGGATCGACGACCAGAGCTGATGTCAGACGGATGCGATCGCGCACCCAAAGAGTGGAGCAGTCGAAATTGGTCAGTAGCCATTTGTTGGGGTTCGTGTTGAATGAGTCAGCGTATTCGATGCCCTGTTTATTAGCATACTGAACTGTTTAGAGCGAAATTTGATTGAAGAGATAGGCGTAGGCAGAGGGAAAGAGATAGATATATACAGAGAGAGAGCGAATTCAATGTACCTTTAGCAGCGGCTTCAGCTCGGGGCATATGAAACTGTTGCCCGCATAGGCCGCATCCACGTGCAGCCAGACGCAGGGAAACTTTTTCAGCTCGTTGCCAATTTCGGTCAAATTGTCGAAAGCACAGGAGCCGGTGGTGCCCAGTGTGGTGGACACAAAGAACGGCACCAGGCCCTGCAGTTCATCCTCCTCCATGGCCTCGCCGACGGTCTGACCACGCAGGCTGGCGTTCTCGTCGGGCTCCAGAATGCGCAGCTTTACAAAGCATATCATGGCTGCCTTTTCCACACAGCTATGCGCCTCCTTGGAGCAGTAGGCCATCAGCTTGGACAACAAGTGTCCCTCCTCGACGAACGGATGCTGGGCCTTGAGGCGCTTCAGTGCCTGAGCACGTGCCGCCAGCATTGTGACGAGCACACACTCCGATGCGGATGTCTATGCCATCAATGTGAAGCCATAAGTTTTACTCCAACAAACAAGTCGCATTTATTACCTGTATAACGCCGCCGCCGGTGCTGCCCTCCTTGAGGGCCAGAAAGTGATCGGGCAGTCCAATGGCCTTGCCCAGCCAATCGAGCACTATGGTCTCCAGCTCAGTGCAGGCGGGACTGGCTGCCCATGAGAAGCCAATGCAGCCAATGCCGTCGCCCAGCATGTCGCCCAGAATGGAGGGAAACGAATTGCCCGCCGGAAAGTAGGCATGGAATCGAGGATGCTGCCAGTGTGTAACGCCCGGCATTATCTTATCCTCCACATCCGACATAATTTGATCCCAATCCTCGGGCTCCTGTGGCGCTTCAGCTATGGATTGAATGTGGGTTGATATTAGTTTGTGGAAATATTATATAGATATTATATAGATAGTTCAAATCTGTCAATTTTATGCATAAAGATTTTTTATATTTTTTTAAGATTTTATAAATGAAAAAACAAAAAAGCTGGATGGTTTTCTGTGATTCGATTTTTGCTGCATTTCATTTTGTCTTACTAATTTTTTTATTAACAAAATTCTGTATTTATTTTTGAGTAAATTGTTTAAAGTATATATAAATTTATAATAAAACTTATAGAAATCCTACAAAATTTTAAGCTTAAATAATAAGTATCAAAATTTGCGTCTTTTAATAAATCTATTTTGTATTATTTTATACCCACATGAATTTGAAATCTATTAACAAATTTTTCTATTTTTGCTCATTTTTCCAATTATACATTTTTAATTACTTTCGAATTGCGCATTGTTGTCTTAACAATTTTAGATATACTCGTGTAAGCAAATGTTTTTAGCTTGTGATATTTTATATAAATACCTATGCATATATAAATATATATATGTATATTTATATGACCACTTACTTGGTAACAGATGCCTTAAGTATCCGGGCTCCACGCTGGGCGTAACGCGCCGTTCACCCAAGGTTTCCAGATAGTTGCAAATGTACTCGACCATTTCCATGCCACGTTTTCGAAATTCGGTGCTATCCATCTTTATGCCGTTTTATAATATATATTTGTTTGCCTCGATTTTCTTTCTTGTTGTGATATTTTGAGGGAATCGATTTGTAAGCGTGTTGTGAAATTAGACAAACAAATGATTTTTATACAAAAATATTGTCAATGTTTGTTATATTCGTAATTAAGATTTAAGTCTGAAAAGGTTTATATATATTTATTTTTTAT